AGAGTCGCTCTCTGCGAGGCGGCAGCGTCCATGCAGCAGCGGGGGGAGGGGCAGACTGTGAGGGTGTGAGGTCATGCTGTTACTGGCCAATCGGCAGTCTGTGCTTGTTAACGGCGTCAGTGAGGGAGTTAGCGGGTTCAGTGACAGGTCGCGCCGATCGTTAGTGTTTCCTGCGAGTCATCGAGCGGCACTTACGGTAGCTACTCTCACTATCGCTGGCGTTAGACGTCACGTGTTCTGGAATCACAACACAAACAGGACACGACAGGTCACATCGCCGTCCCACAATGCTTTGCCCCGAGCCGTGATCACGCAGGGGGACTCGAGGCGGCAGATCAATCACAGCAACAAACACCGTCCGACTCTTTTCAGCCCAATAATGGACACATTTCAAACATTTCCCAAACTTCCAGGAGTCTTCCCTGACCTCAGATCCAAATATAACTGCTTCACGTTCAAAGACTCGACTCTGAAAACTGGGCGATGTGGATAAAACCAGACTGTATATAAACGATGGAAGCAGCCACCGTGACATCATCCGTTTGCTTCGAGCAGAGCGATTGAGGCTGAACCAGGGAGGGAACTGAGGGACACGGCGCACTCAGTGGGCAGCGACTTCCCCTCCATCACCTTTTAAACATTTTAATTAGACCAAAATTAACTAAATAAATATCACGTTTTTAACTCAGTAAGACTTAAAACTAAAGACTGAGACCACAAACTCACCAGGACAGCATCGCCCCCTGCTGGCCATTAAAAAGAACGCAGCTTTAAGACGCTTCCTTCCTTTATATACAGTCTGTGTTTTCAGCTCGCTGATGATCATATTCAGATAAGAAAATAAAATCAGATTTTTTCTGGGATATTAAACGTTTTCTTTAGATCGTCAGCTGGACAAACATCTGGAAACATCTGGAAACACCACCAAGACCTGAATACACACATTTTAAACTGTAATTTAACCAAAACTAAAAATGTTCCCTGGTTTATCGATCAGCCGTGTTTGTGGGCGGGTTTATTTCCCGATGACTGAGCGAGCGGCTCGGCTTCAGATCTGCTCGTGTCGGTCGCCGTGTTCAGCTTTTAGAGCTTCCTGTAACTTGTACACGTTTGCCATGAAACAGAAAAACAAAGGTCTCGTGAGAGATGAAGAGCGGAAACTCGTGGCCAGAGTGAAGAGCGCCGGCCTGAAGGATCCACGAGGGTCTGTGGTGAGGAAGAGGAGGGGGAGGGGTCTCAGACTCCACCAGGAACCATCATCAGACTCTTCAGTTTAGCGTCTTTTACGGCATTAAAACTAAACGCGCTGACCCGGGCCTGCCGACAGCAGCCTTCACTGACACTCGACACACTGACATAAGAAAAACTGAGATTTTATCTTCATGTTCTGGATGAAATATAACAAACTGATCCGGATCAGAGCTCCTGTCAGTCGGGAACTTTGAACCTGCTGGTTCTCTGTTACGTGTTTGACTGGTTTTTGTGGTTTTCTGAGTTTTATTTGATAGTTTTGGTCCCATATGCAGTTTTATGAACATCATTTAAAATCTGAATAATCACTTTGATCAAAGGCTGATCAGGAGTCGTTGATGCTTCGTCTGATTTTACTTCACAAAACAAACAAAATAAAGTCGTCTGCTCTAAAACACGAAGCTGCTTTTAATTCAAAACAAACAACCAGTAGAATAAACCTCGAATACAAATCGGGCGGCGTAAAGCTCCGCCCCCAGAGGTTTTAGGATGGAAGGATGCTCGTGCTCACAACTCATAAACTCGCTTGTAGAGCGAGCGGCGTCTGTACGCTCTGGTTATTTAGTGGAGCTCTCCGGAGGACGCTGGTGGAGACCGAAGAGGCTGATGGGAGTTTTGGGGGAGGGGGTGTTGGGGAGAGACTTACTGTGTCCTTTGGACAGCACGTCCTCGCTGTTGTCCTGCAGCAGCAGAGCCGAGTGAAGGAAGGAGGGAAAACAACCACAGACACAGTTACTGACAGAGCGACAGACTGAGAGAGCAGAGGGAACGCCGCCGGGGCGCCGCTGCAGGGCGGCCATGTTGGCTCTGGTTTCAGGTTTTAGAAACGGCTTCTAATCAGATCGCACGAGCGCGGCCACGCCCTGCAGCGGTGACGACCAGCGCGCGCTCAGCACGCCGTCGCCACCTGATCTCTCTTCCTGTCGCCGGCCAACCTCCTTTCAGACCGCCCGCCTCCCCGCGCTTGTACTTACGGTCGACATCGCTGGTCTCCTGCTCGCTCGCCTCTTTGCTCTTGTAGAACGGAAACTTTCGGGAAAAGAGGTTCTTTTTACGCTTGTCATTGAGAGACTGCTGAGGAAGAGGAGGAGGAGGGGTGATGGAGTAAAACAAAAACAGAGGAGGAAGAGAGGGAGATGAGGGGGTGTGATGGGTGTCTGAGTCTGCGTCTGACCGGCTCACAGTTTCAACATTAAACACAAAAATCACGAAGTTTAAACTGAAACACTCGGACACAGAGGCCCCGACCCTGAACGCAACCTGCTCTGACGCCCCGCTTCACACGCCGACAGTGAAGGCAGCGTCGGTCGGAGAGGAGGAGGAGGATGAAGGTGAACATGCTGACGACATGCAGAGACACAGCAGCGACAAGCTGGGAGAAGCCGTTTGGTTATTTCGGCGAATCGGCTCGAAGATGGTGCTGATGCGATGCCTTCAAGTGCATCAGGAAAAGTCGTTCCACAGAGCATTTATGTTCCTTCGTGTAGCACTGAGGAAACACTGGTGCTACAAACGTCCCGTGGGTCGGGCTCAGAGGCCTTCTCAGCTTTACGTGGTTTCTTCATTTGGACTTCTGAAGCTTAAATTTAGCTTCAAGCTTTTGCATTTCGTTTGTCTTGAAGTGTAAATGAAAGCGTGACGTCACCAGTCAGGCTGTAAAGGTTACTGTGGGGTTAACACTGATATTTAAAATAAACTCATCCAGATGTGAGGCTATAACAAAACGATATCGGCTGATGTCATGGCAACCAACCAACAAATATTAGGTTTATTTAAAAAGCGCCGGCAGCTGCAGTCTGAGTCCGGCATCCACCTTCTTTCAGCTCCATTGTTGGTCTCCACCACCTCATGGCTGCAAATATTGATTAGTTGAGGCTACGAACGCTAAACCTACATTTATGTATAGAAGCCAAACACAGAACAGAGTCGTGTCCCTTTTCCTTTAACCGTCTGTTACTATGGTAACAGCTTGGTCTCAGTGGGTTCATTCAAGCTTGTGCGATGACACAAAACCAAAACCAGGAGCTGAAAGGGCCTAAAAAGGTCTGTGTTCAAGTTATTGATTAGTTCAACTATAAATGGGTTTAATGGCTCAACGAGAAGAACAAGCAGACATTTGAACCGCTGCGTGTCGTTCATCAGCAGGAGGCGGGACCTGTGACATCATTAGCTCACATGCTGCACTTTGATGTTACAGAGCAGGAGACGGAAAACAGGGTGAGGAGGGTGAGTGGTGAGGAGGAGGAGGAGGAGGAGGAGGAGGAGGAGGAAGGTTTGAGAGCAGCAGACGTCAATGTCAAGCGTTTCGCGAAGAGGCGGGGAGCAGACCGCGGGCACCATGCATGTTCTACGGTTTGCCTCCCCGCCCTCAGTCTGCCGTGTTAGCGTGGCGGCTGGCGAGCAACGCCGTGGCGACACGTATTAAAGCGGCACACGGTTTAAAGGTGGCGGGGGAGGGAGGGGGAGGCGCTGCTGCGATTTGGTGAAGAAGAAGAAACGCCTCAGAGATCGTCATGCTGTTAAACGGCCGGCTGCTTCAACATTAGTCAAACACTCATTAGTAGGTGGAGATCAGGTGGCGTTGGCGCAAACACACAGAGGTCACATGATGCACACAGCTGGCGTCAAACACCTGAAACGTGTCATCAACCAGCTCAGAATCAGCCGACTTTATTCAAACACGTTTCACCTTCACACGAATGAATCTGGTGCAGTTTAAAGTGCGACACACCGACGCTCGGGGAAGGTCAGAAAAACAAGCACCCGTCACACTCGAGGTGGCGGGCGCCGCGGGCAGCCATTTCCCTCACTGCCGGGTTTCAAAAAAGGCGGGCGGCGCAGACGGACTTATCCAGTAACGTCCGGTAACTGATGAAAACCCTAAAACCGAGTCGTTAGCTAACAGACTGAAGTCTGTCACAACGGCCCAAACACGCGTGCACTTCAACCGCCTGTACGAAGGTAACACCGCGCATGGCTTCACTAACCTGCACGCTACACGTCACTGCGGGGAAAATAAAGTCGGCTGATCCTGAGAGCATCAGATGGGACGAGTCACTGAAGTCTAAACAAGTCCGACTCGTTCTATCAGGTCGAGTCTGGAAAACTGAGCATCTTTAAAAGACGCAGAAATCAAACAGACAATAAAAGCAATAAAAAATGTTTTACAGCTTAAATACAAAGAACAGAAAAACGTCTTTGTGTGTAAATAAAGTCGCGTTACTGGAACTAAAACACGTTTCTGACTCCAGGGACCGTCTACGCCGTCACTCACCCCTCTGTCCCGAGACTTGGCGTTAAACTTCACCGTCTTTAACCTCGCCCTCTCCTTCTTCTCCACCCTGTGGGAAAGGTCAAAGGTCAGCAGAGATCACAAGGGAACCAGACTTTATGCATGAATCTGTCAGATACTCGGAATGAGCTCCGCCTCAGAGCTCGAGGGCAAATCGAGTGAGTCGGCAGCTTGCCGCCACTCCGCGAGCGTTCCTCCAGAAACTGGAAGGTTTTGCTTTTCGAGTCTCTGACGACATCCTGACCTTACAGTCTAACTCTGCCTCTACCCTCGGAGGTCACCTGGTAAATGTTCAGAGCGTCACTGTGAAGCTCTCGTTCGTCGCAGTGACACCTGTACAGGTGCGACCCGGATGTTTGTTTAAATAAAGTTACAAACTCCAGCCAAACGTCCTCTCGAGCTGTGAGCCGAGCTCTGAATCCTGATTGGTGGAGCAGATGTAACTGGGACTGACCGTCTCTTGCTGGGGATGACCCCCACCTCCTCCACCTCTCCCTGTGCCGTCAGCTGCCTCGCCTGCCACCACTCGTCGTCGGAGGCGTTCACCACGTGAAGGATGTCTCCGAACTTAAAGTTCAGGCCCTGACTCGGCAGACCGGAGTCTCTCGTCTTATCGTAGTCGAACAGAGCTCTAAAACACGAACGACAAACAAACCGATTAAAAACAACACAGGACGTCAGCACGCGAGCGCCTTCCACGCTTTAGGCCTACCTGACGTACAACGACCTCTTCTGACTCGTCCGCAGAGACCCAGAGCCCGAGCTGATGCTGCTGTTCATCATCTGCTCCCTCAGGTCGTGGATCTTTGCCTCAAACCGGCTGTACTCTGAGCGGACACAGAGGCCACCCAGGGGTCAGAGGTCACAGGAAATTACAGAAACACGTTAGAGTCTCTACAGAAGATTTTTATGAAGCCAAACAGAATCTGAAACTTTTTAAACTGGACTGTTTCTCTGGTAAAATCAGAGATGACTGCTGGTTTCAGTTTCCCACAGAGATCAGAGCTGAAACATCTGTGAACAGCTGGATTAATAATCAATCATTTTAAAGTGAAAATAATCAAACGGCCAAATATTCTGATACCAGCTGCTAAATGCAGAGGATTTGTTCCCTTTCCTGCTCACACCCGACTGTAAATATACTTAAATGTAGTTATTTTTATTTAAGCTGCTGCTGGAGTCATGTGATCCTGCAGGTGCGTGCTGCTGTCCCACCTTCTGGTCTGTAGTGGGCGACGATGGTCACTGTCTGCCCGGCGTTCTTCAGGGCGGCGGCCGCCTGTTCGTGGGTGGCGTTACGGAGGTCCACGCCGTTCACCTGAAAACACAAAAACAATGTCAGACGCGGAACAACGACTCAATCGAGGAAACGAGCGGCTCAGTCTGATCCAGCACTTCTCTAAAGGTGCAGCTTTTAATTTGAAAGTCAACAGCGTGTTTGCCTGCGTGTGGCGAGCGACCGGCAGCGACTCATCACTGACTCAGACAGACACTCTGGTTTAAGTTGTTGATCTCAGAGTTTAACGCGTTGTTACGTACGGAGACGAGTCGGTCTCCTTTCCTCAGCTCTCCGCTGAGGTCAGCAGGTCCTCCGGCGAGGATGAAGGAGATGAAGATCCCCTCGCCGTCCTCCCCGCCCACGATGTTGAAGCCTAGTCCCGTCGCTCCTCTGTGAAGCACCACCTTCCTCGGCTCCCTGCAGGAAAAAACACTGCAGCCGTCAATCATCTGAAGTCATGTGAGCAGGGTCCCCCTCAGACTCTGCAGGTGTGTGTTATGACGGGAGGGTGGAGGGTGTAACTGCAGGTGTGCACCAGCAGAGGGCGCAGCAGCTGTGGTTCAGCTACAAAAACACTGAAACGTTTCAGTGCAGGCGTGCGCGTGCAGCGTTTCTGTTCTCACCGGGTGACGTCGTCGTCTCCCAGCGTGCTCTTCGGGGTCGGGGAGTAACGCCCCGAGGATGCTGGCGGAGGGACGGGCTGACCCAGGAAGTTGGGGGGGCTGATATGGTTCTCCATGCGCTGGGAGTACGCTGGAAGAGAAAGAGAGAAGACCATTAAAACCAGTCTGATCACAGCCGCTGTGTGTCTGACGCTGAGCTGCTGCATCTGCTCGCCTGTCCGGCTCCTGTAACCACCTGATTGGCCGAGGCCGGCAGCCGTCGAGGGGGGTCGTAAACGACACCGGTGAGCGAGAAACAACCACCTCCCAACTCAAGCCTGTCACGTTTCTGCTGAGGATCAGCTGTAACCGCAGCATCAGAGCGATGACAGAGACGACGAACACGCAGTCAGTTTATTATGATCTGTGACAGCAGCACCGAGAGGATGAAACCTGAAAATAGTTTCCATTCGTCTCCATTTTTAAAAACATTTGAAAGTTTGATGTTCGTCTGATCGGAAACTGTTCTCTCCACGAACAGGACACTCCCCCGGAGACTTCAGGAGGTTAAACAAATAACGTCCCTGCATAATTAACAGAGCGATGGTTTTACTGCCACTGCAGGAGACGAAGGGCGTCGTTGGTCCACGACTCGGTTTAGACACAAACTCAGAAGCTGAACAGCTGATCGACTGTGGCCCAAACTTCAGATATAATCATAGCTGTCAGCACTCGGTTTTAGGGAGTCTGTGTTTCACATGGATGAGTTGAGGCACCTGGTGGCGTTTGTGAGAGCCGAGCTGCCAAACATCGTTCTTCCGCGACTCGGGATCGGATATTTTGTGCTCGTTCCTCGTTTGGCTTCAAACCAGCACCAGCCTGCTCGGCTCAGAGTCTGTGTTAGATTTAAGGATGTCAACTCATGATGATTACTCAGATTATAACGTGCAACACTTCCTGCAGCCTCCGTGTCTTCCTGTGCGTTCCCATCAGTCTCTCCTCGGCTCCGGATCCTCCACAGCTGCTTGGAGCTCCTCGGTCTCTATAGCCGAGGAGCCTGACGCGCAGCATCTCTGAGGGGTGTTTCCTTCTTTGGCATCTCCTCAACAGCTCGGTGCCAGCTGCGAGCCTCCGGGATGCAGGTTTGTCCTGCAGTATTACAGTTTCAGAGCGCTTCCTGTAATTTGCAGCGAAGTGAGAGATCTAAAAACAAGGTTCAGAGCTGGGCCGTCTTCATCCCTGCTAAAGCTGCCGGTTCAGAGAGAAATGTTTTAAAGGAACCGGCCTCGTCTGCACTTTGAGGCGTGTCGTTTGACGAATCCCCGCCCCACTTGATCATCAGAGACTGCGGCGGTCCACACCGGCTCAGGGTCGGATGTCATCCTGACCACATGAGCCGGGACCTTCTAATCTGCTCGATGTCAGAGCAAAAATCCACCGCAGCGTTCAAGACAAACCAACAAGCCTTCAGCTCCAGAAAACCGACACTCACACAGGGAAACCTTTAACTCAAAACCAGGTCAGCTGATTTATGCGAGACCTCATTTATCTGGAAGATCTTAAAACGGAAAACAATTCAGGATAAAAAGTCCAGGGAAGTTTTCAACTATGGGTTTTCCAACTGTTTCTGGAAGCCTGAATCCAGAACAAACTGAAACGCGATCGCAGCATCAAAACGTTTCTCTCTTCAGCTGCAAACACAGAAGCAAACTTTAGTGGTGAGGTCACAGGTGTGTGTGTTTGCACTCACAGTTGGTGAGGTCGGGCGGAGCGAAGCTGTCGTTCATGAAGACACTGTTGGGTTTAGCCACTTTCAAGTAGACCACGTCGGGAGTGTTTTTCAAGGCAGTGACGGCGTGTTCGTGGCTCACCTCCTCCAGGCAGGAGCTGTTCACCTGAACGCGGACACACCAAGAGAGGAGCGGTCAGACACGCCTGTGCTTTTATTCTGAAGGTCTGCTGTTTGGTAGTTGGTAGTAGCGCCTGCACCGCAGATTCAGCGCGTCTTCCCTTAATAAAACATTTTATACGTTTATAATTATAAAATGTTATAAGGGTGAAACTTTATCTTATTGTTAAAACCTCAGAAATATTCATGGTGCTCGTTCTTCACCGTCTACTCAGCAACTTCCTGTTTTTACTGCAGATCTAAAACTTCATTTGTTCTTTAGCACTGAAACCTGTTTCTACTATTTATACACGTGTTGGTTGTTTATCAGAAATATTTTACTTTATTTTAATTTATTTTATTAACTCGCTGACCTTTAACCTGCTTTTATTATATTTAACTTTTATTAGTCTCATTTTTTTCCTTTTTTAAAATAATGTAATTTGTTTGTTTTATTTTTATTATTTAAATCAGGCTTTATTGGTTTTAATTAACATTAACAGTTCTTTTTGGTTTATTGATTATTTAAAAGGTTTTAATTGAATTTTTTTAAAATATTTTATTTATTATTTATTTTATGTTAACTTCCAGCTCTTTCCTTTAATCTGCCCATTTTCTGTTTTTATTGTTATTTTAATTAATTTCTAATTGTGCTTCTTTTTTCAAATATAGTATTCTGTCTTGTGTGTCTATTGATTTTTTTTACGGGTCTATTTTTGTTTTTTATTTATATTTTTCTACTTTTAGTCGTCTTTACTTCTATTATTTCTTTCCTGCAGTTACTTCATGTCATAAGTTTAAGCTTGTCTTAATTATTATTTCTAATTTTACTGGTTTCAAATTTGAGTCTTTAGTAGGTCTCATAAATAATCTCATCAGAGCTTTTCTTAATTATTTTATTGCACTGAATGTTTGTAACTCTGTTTGACTTTCTCGTGTTTACTCTTTTAGTTTGTAGCTGTGGTGTAAATAAATTATTCGTCTGATGTGATTTCTCGTGTTTGATCCTTACAGCCAGCAGTTTGTCTCCAATCTGCAGCCGCCCGTCTTTATGAGCCGCTCCGCCTTCGATGATCTTGGTGACGTAGATACTGTTGTCGCCGGGGATGTGCTGGTTCCCCACGCCGCCCGCTATACTGAAGCCGAGACCTGCAACACAAAGAACCAGAAGGAGGGTGCAGGGTGATCAGACGGGAAAAGCATTCTGGGTAAAAACCCTCAAACTCTGGAGTCTAGCTCCGACGCCTGAGCGTCCTTCACAGGGACAAACTTTAAATAACAACCACCCCACGAAACGCGCCGCTGCTGGTTTAACACGGGAACGAATCAGGACACATAAATGCACAGAAGCATATTTCAGGATGTTTCCGTGGAAACCGAGGCTTTGTTCTTGAGCCGGGCTCCTCGTCTGAATAATCATGAGGCCCGCGGGGATTTCACTAAAGCTCCTCAGCAAGCGGAGACAATCCAGCAACACGGCCGACACACATCCACGCCATCTGCGCAGAGCTGCAGCCGTGAGCCAAAACATTAGGAACACTCACAGGTTTAATAATGAGCCTGCGCTCAGACAGGGCGCCGGATCTGAGCGCAGGCACAGTTTAAGCCTTCACGCTACCTTTGGGTCCTTTCACCAGCTTGATCTCCATCACTTTCTCCGAGACGGGTTTCCTCCTGCGGACGTAGAGTCGGACCAGAGATCCCGCCTCCTTCAGCGCCTCCACGGCTCGGCTGTGGGTCACGTCCCGAACATCCACCTCGTTGACTCTCAGGATGACGTCATTGACCCTGAAACAGAGCGTGAACACCGCGCTGTCAGTCAGGTCACCTGCTTCAATAGAAACTGATGATGTCACAGCTTTTCTTTCATTTATTGGAGCTAAAGCAGGAAGTAGAGTCAAACTACGGATCCAAACTTACAAACAGTTTAAAGGAAACCTGAGACCGTACTCTTCGTCCTCATCATCATCACCTGGATCAGGTGTGACAGACTTTCTGCATTATGAATGAGCCATGAAAGGCCGCAGGGCACAGCGGGGGTCCGGCTGTGAGGACACCACCTCTGACTGCAGACCGAGGGACAGAGGTCCTTCTCTCTCTACATGTTTTTATACGAGGCCGAATCCGTCAGGCCAGCTTCAAGCTGAGCCGGTAAAAAGTGAAAGCTCATAAAGTTTGTGATCTTAGAAAGGTTAGTGTTAGAAACCTGTGTGAGTCGCACGTTGTTCCCTCCGTCCCCACTAACTGCTCCCTGATCAGCTTAACAGCCTGTCCTCCACAGCAGCTACGCTGTAAAGCAGCAGCCTGGAAGGAACTGCTGCAAAGCATTCTGGGTGTTGTAGGAGATGCTGGTTTTCAGTTTAAAAGAAAATCTGAGCCCTCCTCTAATGAGGTGACAGAGGGATCAAAAATAGAAGGAGCCGCTCAGACATCAGTCACACCTCCTTCACCAACCAACAGTTTCCTGCTGCCTCACCTGAGCCGTCCATCCTGCGCCGCCGCTCCTCCGGGGATCACCTTGGTGATGAAGATGCTGGGGTCTTCACCGATGTGAGGGTTGTCGGTGCCGCCTGCGATGCTGAAGCCCAGCCCCGAGTTTCCCTGGAAACCACAGTGATCACAGTATTAATGATAACGATCCGAGTCTGTGAGCATGCTCAGGATTCACACTTCCTGCCAGAAGTTTGACGCCGTGTTGGAAAACCTCGAACCGCAGCCAAGAGGAGCAGAAGTGACAGCTGGAACAACGAAGCATGAACACGTCTGCAGGTACCGCTACGCGAATCCCCCGGCACGAGTTTGCACCAATCAGATAACGTCAGCAAACATCCAGAACCCGAGAGCGTGCAGCGGCTCCGAGGCGCTGTTAAACATTGTTTTTACCTTCACTGGTTCAAATACACTGCTGTAATTACCCAGCATGCCGTTCTGCACTGAAATTTTTATAAATGTGCAGTTATTGTGTAGAATGGCTGGTTCCTGCCGCGGTGGGCGTCCGGCGTGTCCACTGCTGTGGACGGGCATCAGATTCAGTTTGTGTCATGTGTGGAAACATTTTGGTTGTGATGATAAAAACAACACGAGGCCGGTTAGACCGCAGACAGAACGACAGGCAGACCTGTGAGACTTTTTTAAAGCTGTGCTAATAATTTGCACTTAAAGGAGCAAAATTAGGACAAGAACAAAAGGAGGAAGACGGTAACAATGTGGAGGATAATACCAGAGGCAGCGAGGAGGATTAAAACAGAGCTGATTAAAGAGAAACTGTTTGTGTGAGAGGATCAGAAACTTTTGCTTTGTTTAACAGAATCTGGTTCATTCGTTACGTCCTCGTTTCCCCCGAAATCTCAGACGGTCGGGAGGTTTGGTGCAGGCAGCGGAGGTCCATGAAAGCAGTGCCTCAAAGTCAAACAGAGAGCATCAGACGGCGGGTCGCCCGTCCTGCGAGTCATAGACCGCGGCTCGTTTATGTGGCTCGTAAAGACGCGACGGAGTTACGGCGGCTCTCGCGGCGAGCAGCACGGCCGTCACTCACAGGGAAGTAAACAGTAAAGGCAGCTTACCCGCTCCAGCGTGATCTCCTCGTACTCATAATCAGCCTCCGTCCCGTTCACCTGCAAACACACACACAGGTATCAGCTCACCTGTCGGCTCCTCCCAGCAGCAGTTTATAGGAAGCAAACACGTTAGTAGAACACAGACTCTACTGTACTTCATTAGAAACACTTCACTGAGTCCAGGGTTCAACTGAGCCTCCTCCTGCTCCTCAGGCTCACGTCTAACCTCGGAGAACTGAAGAGTTTTTATTTCCTCCTCTTAAGCCTGAAGTTCAAGGTTCGTGCGATGCAGCCGTCTGCCACAGCTCCTGCAGGCTCCACTCACCGACTCTGATCTAACACATTTCCTTTAAACCGTCCAATTAACAGAAGCGTGCTGCAGCACTGAACTCTGAACTGATGTGGGGAGAGGAGAGCGAAGCAGATGCTTCTTCAAATATTTCTCCCCGTCAGGTGAAACTGAAGCGACGCCGTGCTGACAGCGGCCGGAGTCCACGGGAGGCAAACATCAATTTAATAAAGACGGGTCCAGTGCTAGGCAGGTGAGGCTCCAGCTGGCCCGACGGTGAAGATGGAGTTACCAAACATCTGCAGATCCACAGAGTCCTGCATCCTAGCCATTGTCTGTGGATCTACCCACCCACCCATGACTCCATCTTTATCCATAAAATCATCAACACAGGTATCATGCCTTCATGCATCTGTCATCATCTTCCAATCTATCCATCACTCATGCAGCCATTCAGAAATGAGCAGCACTCACGTATGGAGGTGTGTCCAGGCTGTCTGCGTTGACCACCACAGGCGGAGGATTGGCCTGCAGAGACGAGGAGACACGTCAGAACATCACAGAGGAAAAACATCTCCACCCTACAAACACCCTCACAATAAAGAAACCCCCCTGAACCTCCACCCCTCCGATCACACCCCACGCTGCGCCCGGGTCGGCCGCCGCGCAGCTGCTAAAAGACTAACTCTCCTCATGATGCTAAAACGGGAAGCCCGAGGATTTGAGCACAGATTAGCGAGCACGAGCGGTACGTACATGGTGGCGCTTCACGCTGCAGAAGATGCAGTTCTGAAGCATGAAGCCTTAAATGAAGAAACAAATCAAGAAAATCAATCAAATCCAGTCGTGCAGGAGGGGAGAAGCTGCTCCTTCACCTCGTCTTCCTCGTCTACTCTGACTCTCGCTCGCTCGCCCGGGAGGAGCCAGATGGGCTCTGAAAAGTCAAACGGGGGGAGCGTGGCATTCCTCCCGCTGTTTCTATCTCTAATCTGCTCACTTCATCAGCGCCACAGCTGGACGGCCGACACTGAAAACCGAACTCGACAGAAAGCCGCAGAGCCAAATGAGCGAGGAGAGAAGTGAGGATGGAAGGAGGGAAGGATGGAGGGATCGAGCAGAGAAGAAGGAGAGGAGGAAAGTCAAAAAGGAACAAAAAAAGGAGACCTGTGACGTTGGAGGGATGGCGGTGGTCTCGGCTGGGATTGGCAAGATTGGGATCACGGGGATTATGGGTGAGGAAGGCGGGGCGGCCTCGGCCTGCTGAACAATAGCATGGTGAGGGGTCAAAGGTTAGACACAGATGAACAGCCGGTGAAGGAGGAGGAGAGGATGTATATGTGTATGTGCATGCTGACTGATAGGGGGCGTTCGTTTAGGTCGAGCCGAGGTGCCAGATGGGAGGAGTTTGACAGAGAAGGACCGCCAAGTGTCAGAGAGGTCGGCCAATCACAGGAGGTCACTGTGTGAGTGACACCTGACGATCCTGATGTGGCAAACTCGCCCATCTGCTGTTCTGAGGATTAAAGCCATCTCGTGTGTGTGTGTGTGTGTGTGTGTGTGTGTGTGTGTGTGTGTGTGTGTG